GCATTGGAGACAAGGATAATAGTTTGTTTGAAAGAGAAAAGAACAGGCTTTGAAGTAAGCCTAAAAGCGTTTAACTAGAAATAGTATTTCGAAAGTTATTAAGCACAAAAGATGAATTGCGTTTATTTTGATACACCCTGTATAAAAGCGTGCACCGAATATAATGTCTATAGCACCAAATAATTATTGAAAAGCACGGAGCATAAAGATAACTACTGCACTACGGTATTTTGTTATAAATGCGCATAATATCACTATAGTAATATTTAATAAGAATTGGATACGGCCGGATAAGCATGATATCGGGAATTACCAAGGACTCAATTTGGGTTGTCTGGGGAGGATGAAGCTGAGGCGGATAATACAAACTGAGGCCTTGATAACTATCAATATCATGCGAACATTGAATTGAATGATTGTTTTATTATACATTAAATATTTATTATATCACCAAAACAACTACATTCCATTGCCATTGGCAACGTGTCGCATTTTGACAACAAAACCATCACTCATATGCAGAGGGATTGTTTAAGTTCAATTTATTTTAACTGCATGTTTTAATTTTATTATATATAATGGAGAATAACAATAACCGTTATATAACATAGTATTAAAGCTGCTCAGTAAGATTTGGTGAAATAATTTGGTGGACAAACGTTGGGTTAATAACACTACCATATATTTAAAGAGGGTAACACTAAACAACAATAATAAACTTGTGTGACCCTCATGTAGTGTTGGGGAAATACTAAAAATTAAATGCTAAACTATATCTAAATATTGTGATCTATGCTAAATATTATTTGTCCTTTATTTTGAATCCATTTGATTTGTTGTACCGTGTTCGGTTTGTCTTGTGACTATACTCGTTTTTGGCATAAAGTGTTAAAATATAATGCATTGACTATATCTATACACTTCTATACAGTTCTACAGTGTCATCTTGGTCTTCACTTTGTCGACTTGCAGCACTATCATTCTCGTCTCCGACCTCTTGTTGACTAACTTTACTGGGTTAGGTACCGTGTTTATAAGTTTGTCTTGTGACTATACTCGTTTTTTACTATACTAAAATATATTGCATAAACGACAGTTCTGTCTAGTCTTGCATATTATTTGAAGAATGATCATCTTGCTGTTCACTTGCAGTGTCCACCATTTCTGGATTGTTCCTTGACGTACTGGCACCACTATCATTCCCGTCTCCGATCTCTTGTGCCAAATGCTGAACTTTACTGGGTTTAGACTGATGATCAGTGTGAGAATGATCTTGATTTTCTACTGGGATCATTGGCTCTTGGTCGGTCTCTCCGGATTTTTCGCCTTTATTCCTCGTTTTCAGGCGAGTGGGGGGACTTGTATGAACCCATCCTCATACTCGAGTGTGCCGGATTCATTTGCTTTGACTTCTTGCATTATGACATTAACTAGCCCTCCATTATTTAGACTTTCTCTAGAATTCGCCTTCGTTGCTACGAGAATGCACGTATCTTCACATTCTGTATTGTCTGGGTTTTTCAGAATCGCGGATAGTGTTCTACAGAGAAGTTTAACTTGGTAGTCGCATTGTTTCTCATCTAGTGCCTTGATGCTTTCAGATTGCAACGTACTCATCTTCTTTAAAGTTTGTAAGGGTTGCTCCACGTACTGTATGGCGTAAACATAGTTACAGTCGTTGTATGTTAATTTATAAACAGGAAATTTGTATTTGCGGTTAGAAAATGTTCCTAGTTTTCTGATCTTATTATCCAGTTTTGTCAGATTATCTCTTGTTGTACAATCGTGTGATATGAGCAAGATCAATTTATTTGAACTTAAGTCTACATGTTGTCCTTTTTTATATTCTACTGTATTGCAACTGTTATTGGCGAGTTTTTCGTTGAATTTCGGCAAAGCTTTATCGAGGTAGTTGAAGTAATACGACCACGCAAGTCCGTTAGCGACATAAATCTGTTTTTCTTCAAGAATTGTAGAAATGTGAACCTCGGACTGTGTGTTCAAATTAAGCAAGTGCATTATCAGTGGACCCACGCCGATTCCGCTGAAAATATACACAAGATAGCTTAGCTCAAGCCACGGCTTACCCGTTGTAAAAATAAGAATAACGACAATTACAAAGGTCAAACCTAGCAAAACGAATACTGGACCCCATAAGATTCCACTGAAGCAAGCTTTGATCATCTTTTTACGACTTCCGTCGTAGCGTTCTTGTAGATGATGGCGTTCTTCGGCAATAAGCGACAAGCGGTCGACCAACGTGCCGAGTACGACACCAAATAAACCCAACACGGTGGCGAACAAGCCGGAAAAGGTTAATTTCCCCTCCTTTTTGTAGCAAACATTTGTTGTATTTTTCTGAGTTGCATCAGGGTAGTACTCGACCACATTTCGATTGACGACACAGAAAACGATTACAAGTATAGCTGTAATTGTACATAATATTATCGAGACGTATCTCGCACGTTTCTTTCGCTCTTTAGGAAAGCGTACAGAATCTGCAGTATTTGTGACTACATTTTGTTGTACAAGAGCCAATTCAACATCAGCACCATTTGGCACCATATTGCTAAGCTTTTCAACGCAACTGACACAGTATGACACAGTACAGCTTCAAGGAAGAATCCAAAGTGCTTTCGTTTTCATGTCGTTCCTTGAATTGTCTGTGTCCAAATTCTTTAAATATTTAATGACCTTTTCGTTAATTATCATAACAATATATTGCCACTTTGTTTAGTTTAAATGTGGTAGTATTTAGATATATCTAAAATGAAATGTTTGCTACTTTGCTCTCATTAGACAGTTGACCGTATAAAGTCATTAAAAGGGCCTGTTTAAATGGAGTGAACTATCCTGCCAAAGCGTCAGAAAACGTAGAAGTGTTTTATCGTATTTAAAATGCAAGTGCGCAGCACGAGCATTATAGATATGACAAAACACTCCTACGCACCATAGGCGTAGGGGAGCGGAAAAATTAGGTGGCAGAACGAAATTTGCCCGACCAATCAAATTCCCTGCTAAACTTTGGAAACTTTCGAAAATCTAAAAATTTCGCCACATTGCCCTTTTTTCTTGCATTTTTATTATTATTATTATTATTAATGTTAAACACTCCCAGAAGGGTTTTTCAGTGTTCAATACAGAAGTTATAAAAAGTAATTACTTAATTAAATTATATTCTAAAAACTATATAATATACTATTAACACCAAAATA